GAGCCACCGCGTCGGCGACCTGATCCAGCTCACATGCAGTGCGAGCACCGCGACGCACTGCGCCGTGCGGCGCCAGGGCCTGCGCGTCGTGCGCGAGGTGCTCGCGCTGTGGCGCGAGACGCGCGATCCCGAGTGGGCCGATGCGCGCCTGCTCGCGCAGTACGAGGCGCCGCTCGCGGCCGCCCTCGCGGCGGCGTTCGGCGCGGACAGCACGCCCGAGGTGCTCGCCGCGGCGCTCGCCGTGGGCGCCGAGGGCCTCGGCGCAGGCCTCGACGTCGCGCCGACCAGCCGCCTCGTGCGCCGCATGCACGAGACGTGGGAGCAGGCGCAGAAGGCCGACATGCCGCAGCTGGGCGAGCTGGCCATCGCGCCGGGCGCGATCGCCTACCTCAAGCTCGCCGTGCTCGCGGCGTGGGCGCACATGGCGCTCGCGCCGGCGTGCGCGGCGCTCGTGGCGCCGCACGTCGGCCACCTCGCGCATGCGTGGGCCGCGGCCCTCACCGCGTACGCGGTGCTGCGCGCCGACGCGAGCGCCGCGCTCGACGAGGCGGACACGCTCCTGCCGCCGGCGCGCGCGGACAGCGCGCTGCGCCCTCTGCAGCAGGCGCACCTGCTCGCCGCGTTCGCGCCCGCGTGGGCCACGCTGCTGCAGGCCCTCACGGCCGTGTGCGAGGCGCACGAGCCCGTCGCGCGCGCGACGCTCGCGCCGGCGCACGACGAGCCGAGCCGCACGTTCCTCGCGCTGTACGCGCTCGCGCTCGAGACGCTGTGCAGCGAGGACGCCGACCCGGCCGCGCGCGCCATCGTCGGCCGCGCGCTCCCCGTGCTCGTGGACGCCAAGTACAGCGGCGCATTCCTCCTGCACCCCGCCGCGTTTGACGAGCTCGTGCGCGTCGTGCACCGCGTGCTGCTGCACGAGGCGCCCGCCCTGCAGCGCGCAGCGCTCGACATGGTGCGCGCGCTCGTGCACTCGATGCGCGAGCGCCTGCTCGAGCTGGACGACGGGCGCATCGACGACGCCGAGATGCCGCACACGCCGCTCGGGCGCCTGTGGCGCATGCTCCTCGCGTGGGCGCGGCGCCTCCCCGAGTCGCATGCCGCGCCGACGAGCGAGCGCGCAGCGCTCTTCCGCACGGCCTGGCGCGCCATGGTCGATATGGTCGAGGTGTGCGGCGCAGCGCTGCAGCTCGACCTGCTCGCCGTCCTCTTCCACACGCTCGCCGAGTACGCGCAGCGCGAGGACGACGCCGCGTACCTGCTGACACCGACGCTCCCGCTCCTCCGCGACATGAGCGCACGCGCCTGCGCCGCCGCGCACGCGCACCCCCCGACCGCGCACCGCGTCGTGCAGGGCTTCCTCAGCGCCATGGTCGAGATGGCCGACGCGCTGCGCGCGCGCGCCGGCGACATGGTCACGCGGCGCACAGGCCATGCACTCGTCAGCCTCATGCTCGTGCTCACGAGCCTCGACGAGCGCATCCCCGTGAGCAGCGACGTGCTCGAGCGCTACGCGTTCCTCCTCGCGGGCCACCTGCGCGACGACCACGACGCGCCCATGGCCCTGCAGTGCATCGCCGCCATCGCGCACGCCGCCAGCTCGCGGCCCCAGCACGCCCTGCGTGTCCTGCTGGGCGCGACGGCGCCCGCGCTCGTCGCGCACGCGGTACGCCGCGGCGCGCACCCCGACGCGCCGCGCACGCTCCTTGCGCTCGTCCCGACCATGCCGCCAGCCAGCGCACTCGCCCTCGTGCTCCCCGTCCTCGCGCACGCCCCCCGCCACGCGACGACGGCGCCGCGCCCCCGCTGCCGTGCGCCGACGCGCTCGTCGAGCTCGCACGC